AAATGCTGCCTTCCTGAAATTTGGTACGCTTGTTTGTCTTTGTGTCTATGGTGTATAATGATGTGATTGTGATGCTGTATTTCTGAGTGTTTTATGTGCTGCAGAACAGGTACCTGCTGTAAAACAGCAATTATGCTGAGTCAGGCTTGATTTTTAATAGTATTTTCCTGTTAAATAAATAAATCAAATCAAATCAACAGTCTGTTAGATATTAACAGGCTATCTGCCCACTGCAAGGACATGTTCCAAAACAACTAGCATAATATTTGACTGGAGTTGCTAATAAACAATTAACGGCTGTTTTTCTCTCTCTTCATATATCGACATTTTCACTTAATTACACATACTTATAATCCTAGCTAAAACTAAAAAGTTAAAAAGTAGCCCAAATTGCTACTATAGTGACAAAACTGTTTTTTCTTTGATATTTTGAAGCAAATTCTTGATTTTTCTACTAGACATGAAGAATAAGAACTTTCAGAATTTTAAACCCAAGCACCACACATCAAATCCCTCCTGAGGTAGTTGAAGTGCAGGATCTGGGTCTGCTTAACAAGATGTGAGGGTGTTTTTGTAACTCTGGTGACCTGACCTCTTTAGCACCCCCTCCCTCTGAACACTGTCCTCCTCCATCATCCTTCTGGTGTGCAGTGGAGCCGTGTGAGAGCGGAGAAGAGGAGACCATGGAGACGCTCGTCGCTGCTGATTCACTTCTCACCATGGACTGTGTTGACACGCTGTCCCTGGAACAGCACTACTGTAAGCCCCCCCACACACACACACCTCAACCACTCATCCCACAGCTCTGTGATGTAGGAGTTGTTTGGCTGTGAGTGGTTATTTTTAGACACAATGCTCTCGGTTGCTGTTCTCTTCCATTAAATCTGTTTACGTCCCCCTGCAGCCCAGGCCTTCCTGCCGTCACTGGGCGATGTCATCACCACGCCTGTTGCCCAGGTAACCGTGTCGGCCGGGGGAGTGGTGGAAGCTGTTGACCAGTCCCAGTGGCACTCGTTGCACAAAGAAAGACCCGCAGATGCGCTGCAGGCCAAAAAGAGAAGTGAGCAGCTTCTTTGGAAATAAGCCCACATGGCACTGAGTAGCTTAAGGAACAATAAAGAAAAACATATTTGTTGTTTTGCTTTTGTTCCTGTCTGTGCAGGTAAAAAACATCGACATCAGAGGGCAGAGTCTCCAACACCGGACGTTAAAGTCATGAAAAGTAAATACAACAAAGGTAATGTTTTCAGAACCACGTGTAGGTGTTGTCATGATACTTTATGGCGTGAATGAACACAGATTGGCTGCTCAGTCAGAATTAGTTTAGAGTGGGAATCCACTGCTACCAGCATCAGGTTCTGTGTGACTGTTCCTGTTCTTATAGAATATATTTAATTGTCCTCTTTGGGACATTTGGCTTGGACTACACAGTGCCTGATTCATAACATTTGAATACTAAATACACATGCAGGACTGTTTGAACAAAGTTTCATTATTAAAATGAATTAATAAGAAACGGTATACTAAAATGTAGACAAATAATTATGATAATTCTATTAAATAAATGCATAACCTTAAGGATTAAAGAGTTTAAATTACCCTGCTCTACAAACACTACTTCATGCTTCTGTTTAAAGGGATCCATGAATAATTGTAACATAAAACTTTATCTGATAAACATAAATAAAGACTGTAAAAATACTGTAGGCTGTTTAGTTTTGTATATTTTAAAAATTATATTTTAACACGTACGGAGCCATTTTATTTACACTCAAAGCATTCTGGGTAAATGATGATGTGGATAGGTCCTCGGTGCGAGGCTGCTAGTGAGCTAAATCCACCCTGAAGGTTAATCTTGGACAATATCTGATGATCGACTCTTTTAAATAAAACCAGAGAGCGTTGACAGAGAGGAGAAGGTAGAAA